ACTGAAAAAAGGAATGGTCTATCTCATTCGATGGAATCAAAAGCCAACATTGTAGAAGGAGGCTTCAAGACTAGCAAAAAGAGGAAGCACAATGGTGAAGGACAAACTGGTTCTTTAAAAATTGCTAAAAAGTTTAAAGGCAACTGTTACAATTGTGAGGCAGGACATCGATCCAAGGATTGTAGAAAGCCAAAGAATATGAAGGGAAAAACTCACTAGGCCAATGTAACAGAATATGAGAACTTCACTGATAAGGTACAAGACATGAATCTTTCAGCGGTCGTCTCTGAATGCAACTTAGTTGGAAACACTAAGGAGTGGTGGTTGGATACTGGAGCTACTCATCACATATGCTCAAACCGCGGGATGTTCTCTACTACAAAGTGATGGATCATGATGAACATCTCTACATGGGAAACTCGTCATCTTCTAAGGTAGAAGGACATGGGAAGATAGTGCTGAAAATGACAAGTGGAAAAGAGCTCACTTTGAATGACATTCTTCATGTGCCCGATATTAGGTAAAACTTGGTAGCTGGTTCTCTACTATGTAAGAACAGGTTTAAACTCGTATTTGTCTCAGACAAATTTGTACTTTCAAAGAATGAAATGTTTGTAGGAAAGGGCTACCTGAATGAGGGGCTCTTTAAGTTGAATATAATGACTGTTGTACCTCTAATTATGAATAAGAATACATCTTCTTCTTACTTGCTTGAGTCGTTTAACATTTGACATGAACGATTAGGACATATAAATTATAACACTTTACGTAGACTAATCAAATTAGATTTATTACCAAAGTATGATTTCAATCCTAATCACAAATGCAATATATGTGTAGAAGCCAAAATATCACATTTACCCTTTCGTTCTATTGAAAAAAGTACCGAACCCGTAGATTTAATTCACACTGACATATGCGATTTAAAATTTGTTCAAACTAGGGGAGTTAATAAGTACTTTATCACTTTTATCGATGATTTTACTCGATATTCCTATGTGTATTTGCTCAAAAGCAAAGATGAAGCAATTGAAGTGTTTAAACACTACAAGTTAGAAGTTGAAAATCAACTTAGTAAAAAGATTAAGGCCATAAGAAGTGATAGAGGTGGTGAATATGATTCACCATTTGAGAAATTCTATTCGGAACACGGAATTATTCATCAAACTATCGCGTCTTATTCTCCTCAATCTAATGGTATTGCTGAACGAAAGAATCGAACATTGAAGGAGATGATGAATGATATCTTAATAAGTTCTGGAATACCGCAGAACTTGTGGGGGGAAGCCTTGCTTTCTGCTAACTATATTTTTAACAAACTACCACATCGAAAAGCGCATAAGATACCTTATGAAGTATGGAAAGGTCACAAACCTAATTATAAATACTTGAAGGTATGAGGATGTTTGGCTAAGGTAGTAGTTGCTAAACCTAAAAGGGTTAAGATAGGACCTAAAACCATTAACTGTGTATTCATTGGTTATGCCTACCATAGTAATGTGTACAGATTTATGGTATATAAATCTGAAATACCCGATATGCGTGTTAATACGATTATTGAATCAAGGGATGCTACATTTTTTGAAAATACTTTTCCTTATAACATGCAAGGTGAATCAAATTCACAAAAGAGATCTCGTGAAAACGAAGAGACTACAGATCAAGAATCTATAAATGAACAACCTAGACGAAGCAAGAGGGCTAGGACGTCAACCTCCTTTGGGCCTGATTTTCTAACATATTTGTTAAAAAATGAACCTCAAAGTTTTAAAGAGGCTATGTCATCAACCGAAGCTTCATATTGGAAAGAAGCTGTTCATAGTGAAATTGAATCCATACTACAAAATCATACTTGGGAATTAGTAGACCTCCCTCCCAGTAATAAGCATTTGGGATGTAAATGGATTTTCAAAAGAAAAATGAAAGCAGATGGATCAATTAACAAATATAAAGCAAGACTTGTCGCTAAAGGCTACAAGCAAAAAGAAGGTCTTGATTATTTCGATACATATTCTCCTATGACAAGAATCACTTTCATACGTATGCTGATTGCAATAGTAGCATTGAATAGTTTGGATATACATCAAATGGATGTTAAAACAGCTTTTTTGAATGGGGAATTAGATAAAAAAAAATTATATGGAGCAACCTGAAAGATTTGTAACCTCAGGACAAGAAAAGAAAGTGTGTCGACTTGTTAAATCACTATATGGATTAAAGCAGGCTCCTAAGAAATGACATGAAAAATTTGACACGGTTATGATGTCAAATGGCTTCAAAATTAACGAGTGTGACAAATGTATTTACGTCAAGAACACTCCAAATGGATATGTCATGGTATGTTTATATGTAGATGACATGTTGATTATGGGTAACGATGATACCATAATTCAAACTACAAAAAGGATGCTAAGAAGTAAATTTGAAATGAAGGATTTAGATGTGACCGATGTTATATTAGGAATTAAAATTTCTAGAATATCTGATGGTCTCATATTGCTCAATCACACTACATTGAGAAGATTCTTGATAATTTCAAGAAATATGATATTATTCCTATGAAAATACCTATGGATGTTAGTATGCATCTTGTTTCCAATACTGGTGATAGTAAGTCTCGATTGGAATACTCTATTATTGACAGTTTAATGTATGTCATGAATTGCACTCGACCTGATATTGCCTATTCAATTAGTAGACTAAGTCGATATACGAGTAATCCAAGCACTGATCATTAAAAGGCTATTGTTAGAGTTTTAGGGTATTTAAAACATACCCAAAATTTTGGATTGCACTATTCGAGATATCCAGCAATATTTGAAGAATACTGTGATGCAAATTGGATATCAGATACTAAAGACTCCAAATCAACAAGTGGATATGTCTTTACACTTGGAGGTGCTGCAGTATCATGGAAATCTTCAAAACAGACATGTATAGCTAGATCGACAATGGAATCTGAATTCATTGCATTAGAAAAAGCCGGAGAAGAAGTCAAATGGCTACGAAACTTTCTAGAAGATATTCCATATTGGACAAAATTAGTGCCTGCTATATGTATCCATTGCGATAGTCAATTAGCAATTGGTAGGGCACAAAATGCAATGTATAACGGTAAATCTCGACATATACGTCGTAGACACAATACTGTTAGACAATTGTTTTCTACTGGCATCATCTCTATAGAGTATGTGAAATCAAAAGAGAATATTGTGGATCCGCTAACTAAAAGTTTAACAAGAGAGCAAGTCGAAAGTTCATCGAACGGGATGAGATTAAAACTAATAAAATAATCAAAAGTTTCCATGGTGGCAACCCAACCTAGTTGACTGGAGATCCTAAGATCTAGGTTCAATGGGACAAGCGAACTGTGAAAAACTTAGTATGCACTGAGAAAATGTTACTCCTACCCATTCCTATGATGAGCCAGTGCCTAGCTGCCGCGAAATAGGTTAAGATACGCTTTTAATGATTTCTATATCTTGATTCATTCAAGTGGAGTATAGCAGAATACTCTTTATGGAAATCACCTATGTGAGTGAGAAGATGTCGCTTCTAAGAGAATTAGGTGAAGATGAATTCTCTAAAGACCACTCATGAACGAGGAGGTGTCCAAGGCCAAAATGGACATAAACGTGAAAACCAACTGTGTTCGAAGAGAACTGTGTGACTTCTATTGTTTAAGTTTCCATGAACTGCTGACTGTTCAAATCAACTTGCTACTAATTAGCTAAGGAAATCTAATAGATTTTACTATGGAAAGTTCAAAGTCATTGACTACTTATCCCGATGCAGTTTTCTTCAATTTTTACTTTGAAAAACATATCAGATATTATTGTTTGGAAAATGCCAATATATTTCATTCATGTGGGGGATTGTTGAAAAAATGGTTATGAAATTGGTCAACTTTGAGCCCAAATTTCAATAGGACCCACCTTTTAATTAATACGGGACCTAGCATATTCAGGTTCTACTCCGCGAGATGATTAACGTGATATATTTATTTGTTGAAAACTATTTAAAATTGAATGAAATATTAAGTGTTAAAGTAACCCTTATAAAAGTATTATGGAAGAATTTGATTTTTCAAACACTTATCCCACGTAGAAAAGTTAGGAAACTTTGGTGTGGTTTGTAAGGTGGAAGTTTGGGAATTTAGTTTGAGCCCCAAGGGGTACCAATAGTCATTGGAAGAGGAAGACCTATATCCTATTGAGTTCGGTTATAAACTCACATGCGCGCGCCGCAGCCGTCCGTCCGGCCAGCCGGCTTGGCACGGCACGAGCACATGCCCGAGTCCAAGTCCGGTTCTTGTTCGGGTGCGGGTGGAATTTTGTACTATATTAACTTTTTGGACAAAATTTATTTAAATTTTTGGGCCAAATTGTAAATAATCAAATTCTTGGATACATTATGAAATTTAAATTTTTTGGCTTATTCCGGGTGATTTTTTGATTTGGATGTATTGTTTAACAGTTATCTGTTAACCGACCAAACAGTCGACTGTTAACCAACTTAATAGACGTGACTTTAGAACAACATGTCTGTTCCGAGTTTTTGAGGTTTGTCTAAAAGGTGAAGACTGTTTGAATGACCACGAACAAGTCTATAAATAGCCTGCCTCTCTGCTAGAAAATTTACACCATTTTCATTGCAAACTTTCTGTGCTTTGAATCTTATTCTCCTCTCTCTCTCGTTCTGATATTGTTTCGAAGTCAAATACACTTTGTTGAGTTCGTTGGGACTCTTACAGATTGCAGTGCTGCTTCCGTAGGAGACGAAAATTCGTTCTATCCTATCCTGAGAAACGATTGTTGGACTCATTTAGCACCATTGAAGGCTGCAAATTCGTTTTAAAGAAATATCGTGAAGTCGGTGTGCTCGAATTATATTTTGGATCCTGTAGATCATTTCTTACATTCAGGTGATTCTGTCAGATTGTTTTCGAAGGAATAACTTCAAACTCTAGAAACAACAGGTTTAGCATTTAATTTACGCATTCACATTATGACAACATAAGAAGAAAAGCAATTTATGTACGAGTCTTCATATTCGTCGCATTGTACCATAAACTTATCAGGATTGATGGGCATCTCGCATTTACAGTACCTACAACATTTAAAAAAAAAAAAAAAAGGCTTTCAACAGCTCCATAACACCATCAATTAAACTTAGACGAGAAATCCTATTTTTCACAAGACTTGCACTTCAACTCTATTTGGCGATAAATCTCCGGCGGAAGGTTTATATTGAAAACGACAATAGTAATCATCAGGACCGATGTTCTCCAGTTTGGAGTAATTATTGAAAGGATGACCAATGCACTTCCTCTCGATGGTGTCAACTCTCTGAATTTCATAGTGATCTGAGAAAAAAATTCCTTCCTTGCATGGAACCCTCTCCGCCCTCCAACTGATTGCTCTGACCTATAGAACTTTAGGCGAATCCACATATTGTAGCAGCTATCTCCCAAAATCTTCTCCAGGCGTGCCACATTTGGGGCACTGGGGCAGAATCATGTTTTGAAGGTCGGATCAGCGCGAAATCAAAGACAAACAATACAGATTCAGTTATTCAAATCGCCCATACATAAACTTTTATTGCAACACTAATTTAACAAAAAGAAAAGAAAATTCGACTAAGGGTGTGTTTGATTGTAAGAATAGAATTTGTACGAAAAAAAAATAAATTTTAGCTAATTTAATTGTTTAGGACTTATTTGCATGAAATTTATCATTTAAATGTGTTTGATTAATTTAATTTTCAACTTAAAATATATTTTACTTGTCCGTTTTTTATTGGTGGGGAGATGAGAGAGTGAATTACTTGGAAGATAAAATTCTACTCCCTTTAAAGAAAATATTTTCCTTGATTTTGAGGAAAATATAATTACGTGATCAAAAGTAAAAAAATATTTTCCATAGAAAAATGGTAATCAAACGGCACGAAAATAAGAATTTGAGTAAAAAAAACACATTTTTCATGAAAAATATTGACAATCAAATACACTCTAAGAGTTAAAGGCAAACATAGCACAATGTCACTTATACAACAAAGAAAATAAACTAAAAGGGCTAATTCCCATAAACACCACGAATCAACAACTCAAGAAAATAAAGAGAGGGAGGGAGAGAACTCCTGCATGTTTGCAATGAGACTCATCCATGTTGAAATTTGTATATGAAATTGGTTCCCAATAATTCTTAATTATTTAAGTGAAAATTGTTATTTGGTGAATGGAAAATTAAATCAAATTTAAATTTATTAAATAAGTGAATTATTGAAAAATTACATAAAATACTATGAAATACTTTAGAAATTATTTGGTTGAAAAAATGTGTCTTTGTGTATCGAAGATTGCGGCTTTTGGCACTATTATTTTCCAATAGATATCTCTTTTACCATAAAGACTAATTTCAGTAACTATACCTCTTCCATAGATTGTATCTTTTAACACACAACTTTTCAACATTTATATGTAGACCACATGTATGAAAGTTTCATTCATTCATTTTTTATTTTTTATTTTTTATAATTACATTGTCATGTTAATACATTTTCACTTCAAAGTATTTTGAGCATTTTTGGAATAGAATTTCATAAAAAGAAGGTTCAAAACATAAGTAGGTTTCTTGGTGTACATAATTCAAAGTACTCTTATTACGAGATGTAATCATTGTATTTTGGGAGACGAATGCCGAAAAATCACTAGCTCTCATGCGAGGCATTATCGTCTTCAAGGATAAAGAGTCGAACTATTGCCTCGAACAAATTCATATTCATGCATTTCTTATTTCTACTTTACATATCCGATTTTAGTAAGTCGAATTTTGTTCAATTTTTTTGCACGTAAAATGTATATTATTTGAATATAATTTGTGCACGTCTATTTTCCTCATAGTCAATACATCAACAACAAAAATCAATACTCATTCCATAGTGGCTTCATAACAACACTTCAAAAATAAGAAGTATAAATATACAGACCGGACGCTCAGGCTCGTCAATGCATCTGTATTATTCAACTACCTTAGATTACTTCATCGGTGCCTATGATGGTGTAAGAGTTAAAGAGTTCCGTAGGACGTAAGATCTTAGCCATGGATGATTAAAGGCTTCTTCCTTGTTATTTCCGAGAGTGAGACCGAACTGCTCCTCCTGGAATACACGACAATGTGACGAGGCAAAAAATTAGGTGCTTATTGTGAAATTTTAAGGTTGCTTTTAAACCTAATTTTTTTTTCTTTTCATTTTTTAAGGTGGGAGTGCAACAAAGGCAAATGAATCATGCTATATTAACATTTTGCCTTACATTAAGTTTTACATTCTTCCACATGAAATCAACATAACCTTTGATTTTCTCACACCCTTTCACATCACGGCCTAGATTGTACCACATAGGGGACAATGCCATGGAAGGTGTACACTAGAATGTACATCTAGCAAAATTCAAGGTAGGAAATGGCTGCTGCCTGTTGGCCTCTTGCCCATTCTAGTTTCCATTTTCATCTTATCGGAGATTTTTGAAAGACGAAATGAGAGAAAATTAAAAGATTTTTATTAGTCGTCTCTCTAATCTTGATCCAATTACCAATGGTGTAGGTTACGAGGCAATTTCGAGGCACAGTACATTATCATTATTCCAACATCTGCAAAGTACAACAAATTTATTGTCAAATTTTATCTTAGCATAATTCATCCCTCCCTTTAAATTATGTAGCAAGGCTCGTAATTTCCAAGAAATACTCGGTGCGACCGTCTAATGAGGAGTCACTATCTTATTGTATGGCCAAGCCTTATCTAATAATGTGAGGCCACCTCAGAATTTATGGTGGAAGGAGGGAAAAATTTAAATCCCGAGGTAATTTCACCTCATTGGGTGAGATTGAGCTATTTGATGAGATGGCAACCTAATTACACAGTCGCACGATGTAGGATGGTACCTACCTAAGTATCTCTCGTACTTTCCTCCATTTTAATCATTAAGGGATGAATTTGTCATTCTCTTTAAATAAATAAACATAAAATAAAAGCAATAACAAGAAGGAAAAAAATGAGGAAAAATTACAAATAAAGTTCCATAATATTTCAAAAGTACAAATGAATCACATTTAAAAAATTGGAAAACTCATCTACCTCTACCAAGCTCCCCCGCGCCCACTCCCCCACCGCCACCCACACCCAACCAACAAAAAGAAAAGAACCGGGGGGCGCAAAAGAAACTCCCAAAAACAAGATACAAGTGAAAAAGGACAGTGTGCCAACATCGAACCCATCCTCTTCAGAAGAAGAAGAAAAAGAATAAAGCATGGTAGAAATGATTTCTTAGCACCGGAAGCAATTGAATGTGCAGAGGGTATTACTCGTTAGAAAACCAATCAAGGATTATGGTAAAAGGAGGTAGCGATTCTCGACGATTGTAAGTTGTGACAGCGAGCCAATTCTTCTGCCGATTGGTTACTGTTTTTGTAATTGGTGCCAAATTGGGATTCTGACACGATGTAATTGGAAATTAGGAGCAATGAAAATTATTTGAGATTTGTTGTGTTTTTCAGTGAAATTTGGAAGTACCAGAAGTTTTAGGTGCGAGAGCTTGGTTGGGATGATGAAATTTTTCTTACTTTTTTAAGTGTATAATGCGGTGTTTGTCCCCACTTCGAATAATTTATATTTTAAAGAGAAGGAAAAATTTATCATTTATTGGAGAGAATGATAATTTAACTACATAATTGAAAGGTCAAGTACGAATTACGCTGAAAATCGTTCAAGTACAGTTATTACATTTCGCAAAGTTAACAAAGGAGAGTGCAAATTTCCATTATTCGTTTCATTCTTTCAACTTAGCAGAAAATTGCGAGACATGTTGGGCCCGTAGGCAGCCTACACCACATTAATTTCTATTACATTATATTTTTCTTTTCTATTTTCAATTACACAATCTTTCATAAAATAATATTATACGTAAATCAAAACTTTTTCCTTCTTTTTCAACCATTCATTTTAAAAAAATACTACTCCCTCCTTTTTTAACTCTACAAAATGGGGACCAAACAGGGGCTAAATTTGATGTTTCTCGTTGGAGAGGTAACACCAAATTTGATGTGAACCAGTGAAAATGATTTTAAATCAAAATTTATTTTCAATTATTTAATTACGAATTATTACAAAAATCGTTAAAAATAAGAAATCTTATGTAATGACCTAAATTATTGTATTCATTAATAAATTGAGTAAAACTATTAAGATCCCGTTTGATCTCCATTTTTATCCAAAATACATTTTTTTCAACTTTACCCTTTGTACTTATCAAAAATCAAAACAATTCAACTTGTACCTAAAACCTATTGAAAATGGTAGTTTATGGAGAAGATACAGCTGTTGTCTCTAATGAGGTGTTAAACAAATAATTGCCAACGGTCCAGTAATTAATTTTTGGCCAAAATTAATGGCTCCCAAACACCCTCTAAATATAACACCACATTAAAAAAAAAAATTATATTGAGCGCACAAGAAAAATTTTAATTTCTTGTTGAAGTTATTATTACTTATTAATTGATTAAAAATGAATACTAAACAAAAATAATCATCACATTATTACTTATTTAAAAATGAATACTAAATAAAAATAACCATTACATTAAAACAATTTTAAATCAATTAAAATATATTATTTCTAAAATATAAAAGAGGAATATAAATGGAATAAATTACATTTAGGCACCGTTTGACACAAAGGATTTCCATGGAATTTTCATTTTCCCACTTTTTTGGGTGTTTGATACACCATTTTTTCTTGGCAATTGAATTCCATGAACAATGTTCACACGGACACATTTTTCAGCTTTTGAGGGAAAATGAATTCCCATGGGGTTATGGTGATTTTTTAGATTACAGCATTTTTTTCATTATTTATTTATTTATTTATTGTCTGTTGGCAATAGAAACAAATTTAAAGAATTATTGTAAAAAAATATTTCTCTTTAATTGACAATTGTCATATAAAACAAAGTCAAACGAACACAAAAAAACACATTTATTTCAACATTTTTCATGTGAAAAATTATACCAATCAAACATAATAATTTACAATTCTCAGAAAAATAATTTCTAAGCAATTCAATTCTTTGGAATTCGTTTTCTTTCTATCCAAATTTCATCTTTGCAATCAAACGAATCATTAGAGCATGTTTGATAAGCATCCAAATTCCATGGAAAATGGAATTAGTCTTTCGAATTCCACTTTTTGCTATGTTTGATAGCCTAATAATTCTATGAAATTCTCTTTTTTGGTTTTCTGGGTACTGTTGACCCTTTTTTTTTAATGGAAACAAATTTTATCCTAATTGTAAAAAACTATTTTTCTTTAATTTACAATTTCTATATAAAACAAAATCAAACGAACACAAAAAATAGATGATTTTCTCCTTCTTTTTTTTCCTTTTGGCAGTGGAAACAAATTTCATCCCCAATACTAATAAATTCTATCATTTTAATTAACAATTTTAATATAAAATAAAACCAAACGAATACCAAAAAAATTTTATTTCAACATTTTTCATGTGAAAAATTGTACCAATCAAATGCACTAAACCCCCATTTGACCCCCATATTCTTGCCAAATTTAATGGTTGGAATAATATTTTTTTGAATAATGTTTGGTTGAAAAAGAATGAAAAGTTCTTTATTTGCATGTAATATTATTTTATGAAAGATTATATGATTGAAAATAAGAAATAGAGAATGAATGACAATGAGAATGAGAGCCAAATGGGAGCTAATTGACAATTTCCAAGAAAATAATTTTTAGACAATTCAATTCTCTAAAAAAAAATTTCTTTCAATCCAAATTCTATTTTTATAATCAAACGCACCCTTATTGTAAAGTGGAAAGAATGGCAAAAGGAAATTATTAAAAATTCTTAAATTTGACATAAAATTTAATGTAGTAAACAGTGTTACACCTAATTTGACCCCTCATTGGAGAAGCCATGAAAATCACCAGATGCTGCGTTCAAAGCAATTGTAAAGTGAAAATACTAATACAACATTGAACGAGAAATAATTTTTAAGTTTCATAGCACTTATCTAATCTAAACACAGTAACTAAAAGTTATTTTAACATTAATGAAAAAGTCGCTTTTTTGGCTTAGCAAAACAAGCTAAAATTTAGTCAACTGACTGTCAACCAATAATTTGCAAACTCAACTGAAAATGAATTAAGATTGCAAAAGAAAATAAATCCATAATCAGGAAATATTACAGCCTCAGTTTTCAGACTTCTAGCAGAGTATGCAACTAATACCAGTTAATGCATTTTGATTTACAAGTGCATTCAATTTAAGAACAAGGAATTCTCAGAGAAGGGATGGTGAAATATCCATTGAAAAACGATTTCCTAAAACATTGTCCATGTAATAATGTGAATGTGCAGCGGCAGCAGCATCCATTACCGCGAACTGCATGTCTTCTGAAGGTTTCCAGTGCCTCTTCCTTTGGTTAATGAACCAATTGTTTATTTGCTTCTGATCCAGTCCTGTTGATTCAGCAAGTGCCAGCTTCTGTGATTCCTGTTTAGATGTTAAGTTGCGCCATTATGAAGGGTTTGAAATATTTCAAGACTTGTTTTGTAACGTGTAATGCATCACTGGATAGCAATAGAAGAAAAGGCAAACAAAAATAGAACTCACTGTAGCGTCCAGTCCTTAGTAATGCATGTTCTCCGAGTATATTATTTTCCCATCAAGGAGTGTTCGTTTGAGTTTGGACAAGCTACTTGTCACAGAACAGACAGAAAAATAAAAACATGGAACTTTATTTTCCGGAGCGTTATTCATTACCACCAAAAGATGGGACGAGGTTTTTACAACCTATAATAAAGGCTGATAAGTGATGCTGTGGACATTTCTAAAGTGTAAGGCAATACACATCTGGCGATGCTTGAAACAATTTTGCCTTTCTCCATATTACTATATCTCGAATCAATAATTTTATGCAAGACATTACTGAACTCAATCACTTCTGCATGATCATATGCACACAAATACATGGAAGGAGTTCAAGAAAAATAGTTTAAAAAAGAAAAGAGCTGAAGATTCACATAGTACCTCTGATTGAAAATAATCAATTAGATGGCACCGGTAACCACCAAAGATAAACAACATTAGCAGACCAAACCATGACGAAGATTAAAAGAAGCATATTACAAGATATAAAATACATGGAGCCAAAACCATTGAAATAAACTGAATTTAGCGCAAGATAAACAGATAACAGTGTCAACTTTTGATCAATGTATTCTAACAGTACTAAATGTCACAGGATACAGTGTGCAGTAAATATTTGGTTCCACTTAAATGGGAAGAAACAAGGAATGCTTAATTCAGGATTTGGAATCAAATCATCAAATAACATAAGTTTATAGCAATATAAATTTGACATTCTTAGGTTATAACATACCGATGGATATGGCCATTTGTAGTGCCTGCTCCACCACTCTAGCAACTGTTGTCTGGCTTCTTTGGGCAGCTTACCTTTCTTCCTTTTCTTCATAAACTCCTGCTTGAGGCTGCCCAAGTATCCACTGTATTTTCGCAAGAGCTGACATTTTAGTTCCTGATCTTCTGCCAGAGGGTCTCCGAAACTATAATTTACATCAACCTCCTCTTCAGATGAACCACTTTTATCCATTGCCTCAGGACAAGCTGCGTGTATATATGACTCGTCATCAGCACCAAGCTATTGAAATTATATAAGCATCTTACATGTTTTATATGGATCGATAGTATTTTACATGTTTATGCCATCACAACCAAATAAAAGCTGTTCTTACTCTAGATTAAGATAAATGGTTTAATATGATTCATTGCTTATAGCTTCAGGAAAGTATCAGTTGGATCTTTCTCAATGCTTCAATAAATGCTCTTCAGTTTTTATTGCAAGTCTTTTTCCAAGTACTAAATATTTAAGAGTAACTAAAGATCATTTCCAGTTAAACAAGATTGTGTAATATGAAGGTCAGCTGTGATTGTAGTGATGCTACTGAAGGCGAGCTTCCGATTTCAACACTCACAAACCAGAAAAATCATCATTTTCAACTTAAAAGAAATAACGAGGAGTTAATATATGCATAGAGATCATTATTTAATGCGGGTAAAAGTAGTCAGACCAAGTGGGAAAAAAAAGCAGCATAAAACAGAAAGAAAGATTGCTGGATCAAAGGTCCGATCCAATTTCCCACTCGTCAAGTGATGATAAACATAAATTCTCGGAAATAAGGCCTACATTTTTGTTGATTAGAAAAACAACAATTATCCAAGGTAATTTTAGCCAGCATATTTACTTAATCAACGTGAAAAATCTGTTAACTCTTAATTTAATTCAAAATTATCCTCGTTGAATAAGAATTATGACAAGAAATTCGGAAAAAATAAAAAAATAAAAAGAGCCGTAAAGGAAGTGTTAGTTCACTTCACTTCGTGTAGACCAGCGACCTCATTTTTGTCACAACAATAAAGGGAAACTAGTTACCAGTCAATTCATATCCAATAATACTCCATCCCATTTGACAAAACATTCATAAAATACGCCACAATTTGTACCAATAAAAAAACGAAAGAGCATCACAGTTATTTCATGATTACATACATTCACAGCAATAGGAAAGCATTTCGAATCATAATTATGAGTTTTTTAAAAAATTACTATCTTGATTGTAGTAATATCGTGTTCTTATATAGTCTTGTTGCAGATAAGGCACTATAGTTATTTTGTTTTAGATTTTCTCGAGGGTGGCGGTGTTATCTGTTCAATATCGTCAAGAGAATGATCCTAAAAATCAGAGGAAAATATATATTAAAAAAAAAAAATCCACCGAGGAAAAATTGAATTTACTTTAGAATTGAAAACAATCCATGATAAACAATGACGGACAAATAATAGTGGAAAAAAAAAAATTCAAATGATCGTAATTAGACAATTAAATCCACATTTTACTCAGCTGTTACTTCTGGCGAGCAACGAAGATGACTGAACATGAAATAAAAAGGACAGAAGTATTATAAATAGAGGAATTTAACTAGCAACTCTAAGATTTACCTCAAAGTCCACATAACTTGACTCATAGGATTCACAAGGTGTTTATGATGAAGCATCAGAAGAGATAATATCCTAAACTCAGTGAGTATTAAAACCTGTAATTTCTATGCTAACAGTGAAAGATTCAAATTTAATACAAGATTTCCAAGCTCGGATCAGTAATAGACTCATCAGAAAACTCGAGGGGGAGTAAACAAAACAGACAACATACTATAAATTGCACACGCAATATTTGCAGACAGATTAAGAAAACAGTAACATAGACGTTCCTTCTTAATTTCTTAGATGAAGAGATCAAAATTCAATCAGGTAACCCTGAACAAGAGCGAGTCTCTTTACTCGTATATCTTAATGTTCGCCAATTATAAGGTAAATGGAGCATAACAAAATTGATGTCGGCAACACCAAACAACATTCACACCGTTAGTCTATTTCTTACTCCAACTACACTTCCGATGCAGAAAAAAGTGAAATTCTAGATATCTAAAATGGAACCTCAAACATAGAAAGGAGTGCTATCATCTAGCTTCCTCTTGACAGTCAATAGCACATTACAAACTTAAAAAAATAAAAAAATAAATACAATTATGGATAAAGAGAGATTTAAGCAATGGAGGGATCGCATCTTGAAAAGGCTCTTTTATAAATATAATAAAAAATAATTAAATCTTCATTTCCTTGGAGACAAAAATGTGCAAGAAACATAAAATCTTAAATACATATATTATAAACAAAACCAGGCAGTAGTCCAGCCAAAACAGTAAGACCGGAGAAGAACAAAAGCATTCCATTCAGAGAATAAAAAGACATGGGAAAAAGAGAGAAATTTGTCACCAGAATTAGAGGATTGAGTGAAAGCTTTAAACTGGGATTCGATTCTTGAAAGAAAAAGCATGGCTTCGTGCAATGGTTTAGAAAGTTCTTGCTCATACTTTGTCAACATTTCACAGTAAGCCTCCATAAATTGGTCGAGCGCTGGATCTTCACCGATATAGCTTGTGCCATTGCGGCCCACTGCAGCAGCAGATGCACATGCTTCTTCAAGTCTCGCCACCACTTCAAGAGGCGCTCCTATCTGAAAATTTATTTACATGGTCGGCAGGACTTCAGATTAGGATATAATATGAGGGGTTGGTTACTAAACTGTATATTCCACTCTATTCAGGAGTAGTAGTCATAGGGTTTTTGTTACACTACTCTTCCTTGGCTCGATTCAAGAGAGTAAATCTTGAGTACAACATTATAGATAGTTTATCATTAGAGATTTTAGGGCATTTAAAGTTGATTTGAAAACTTTAGTTACTTATTTACCTTTTGACAATTAACATAGGCAGTCACAAGACGATGGTAATGAGGATGAGCCATGATCTTTGCCTTGAAAGACCGTTCTCCATCGTTGTTGCTATAGACCGGCTCCATAAAATAATACCCAGTGCTTGGATTATTGTTGGTATTGGCACTGTTATTTTGTTCCTCGACCATGACAGAAGAATTACCAGGGCTTTTGTGAAGATTTAGGTTTTGATTGTTGTTGGTGGGAAGAAGAGGGAGAAATAGGGTATTGCTGTCTGCATTATGAGAGGTCATCGAAGGCATCATCATCGTAGGACACAAAGCATTAAAGTTGTCCCCAAAAGCTATCAAACATGAATTGCTACTGGAACCACCAACCTCCATTTCACACACACTTACTTACAATATGATGTTATATATCTGTCTCACTCCTATTTGCTCCCTTTTGCATGAGCTATCTGTTTCTTTCTTCTTTCTTCTATCTCTTTTTGAGTGTTCGTCTCCCGAGTTTTATGCTACTGGTTTCAGCCTTTTAAAGAAAATCCTAAATAGTTGTCTGAGAAAGTAATCTGTTTAACAGCAAAAGAATTTTATGAGGAGAGAGAGAGAAGATGTAAAGATTTACGGATAGCACGCGGTGTTGGCAGAGAAGAACGGATTGCCCATTTAACTTATTTGCAAGGCTTTCCCTTCCCCGATGAAAACCCCCACACTCTTTGTACACTGCCACTGAAACACTGCCATCTCAAAGGTTGGTTCAACCTTTGAGGTCCTACGGCCCCGTCCTTGAAATATTGTGAAAAAGGTAAATCGCGAGATGTATCCCATTAGATTAGAGAACAAGAGATTGTCTGTACATTGATGACCATAAAAAAATCTAATTTCATATCTCAGGAATCGAACTCTCACACTGCGGTTGCCAGTAAGACTAAAATCATTCCACTCCTATCTTTTGCATCACTAAATTATTCCCTGAGAGCAAATAATTACATAGATTAACTTTTACATTTGACATCCTTTGACATAAAATTCATCATAGCTATTCTAATAAATGTTCGGATAAAAATATTAATATTATTTTAAATTAAAGTTGATAAATGGATAATAACCATAAATAGAAATGTTCTTCTATTCACAGTGAAAAGTTTTATCTTGTCCACTTGAAGAAAACAATACTTAGCCCCTGTTTATTTCCTATTTTTAAGTAAAAGTGCATTTTGAAATAGTTAATTGGTGAAGAATGTGTTGTTAAAACTAAGAAAAAGTTTAAGTTTTGAATATAATATTATTTTATTGAAAAATATATGATTGAAAAGAAGAGAAAAAAAAATGAATTTTGAGAAAAATGGGTATCAAATAAGGGTTTACAAGTCTCACGTTTGGAGAGAACCATAAGTAAGGTTCTATTGTCACACAAGTAATTGAGCAATTTTATCATGTCCATTTTGGGCAGGAGAACAATTTCGTACCTATAAATGTGCGTATCAAAATTATTGCTTTATTTTAATTGAATAAAAAATATTTTTTTTAATCATTTTTAAATTTATGGAAACATGGAGCTTGTTTGAGTCATATTTTTATTGAAAAATGTACTTTCAAACAGTAGATTGATGAAGAATGTATGATTACAAAATAGAAAAAAATCTATTAAAGAATGCGTTTGTAAAGAAAAAAAGAGAAAAATGTATTTTTTTTTTTTTAAATGAGAATCAAACACGAAGGCATGATCATTTTCTATCATTCTCTACGCTCGTGAATTGCTGTCTTCTTTCCGGGCACCTTTTTTTCTCTTTTTCCTACTCATTTTCTTTTGTGGAAAAATCGAACAACAGCCCATGTGTTCAGGATCTAAACCTTTCATGATATTTATGTTACTACCTTTTCATTTGTAGTAACACATATATATCTTAAACTAGTCGATCTTTTAACATGCGAGCTCATTCTACCAACAATGGAGGTGTGAGCAATAACTATGCAACGCGAGTAATGTCCGAAATTGTTTTAAAAAAATAATCATATAATGTAATTGGAATAATTACACCATTTGATTTTTAAAAGAGAAGAATTTTTTTTGGAACAATTTTTACTCTTTTGGATCGAGATGAGAGTAATTAACACATTTCGTCCTTGTTTGATGGTCATCTGAGAAAACAATATTTTGAATAGTGATATTTAGAAGGATGAATGGTTAAAAAATAGAGAGAGTTTTGAATTTATGTGTAGAATATTTTATTATATAAATGTATAATTAAAAATGAGTACGTAAAAAAAAATTTCAAATAATGATCATCAAAGAGGGGTGAAGTGTTATCCCTTTGAAGAATTTGAAGCAGCAAGAAGTTAGCATCAATGGTCCATTAATGCAATCTGATCAATGCATATCCTTATCTAAATATCAGCAAAACTTTCACAAATTCTTAACATTTTGTTCACTAGTTTTTGCTCATGCTCGGGCCTTGTTGTATTCGTGCAAAGATTATATGTCTAGTCAAATTTGTAATCGAAATTCAATACAATCTGTTATGACTATGTGTTAATTGATCGCATGTTTAGGCTAGACTCGTAATGTTAATCGATCGTATGGTTAACTCTGCACTAATAGCCTTGTATAAAAATTGTGACTTGCTACATATTCAACAAAAAGATGATAATAATTTTGCAAATATTTAGCAAATTCGTGCTTTAAGTTGACCAGACGACTACAATGCTGGATTCAACCTCAAATAATTTCAAAAAGATGGTTAAACTTTCACATTTTGGGCTTTCCGTTTCAATATTTAGCCGTTGATTGATATAGATTTTTCAAATATTGTTTTTTTTTTTTTCTAAATTCATTTTTTATCGTACATTCTCACACTAAAACAATTTTATACTTGAATCCATAATTTTTTTTTTCTATTTTTAAGCTATAAGTTTTTCAAAAAAATTATTATTCATAAAATTCATTCTCAAAAAGGTCACCCAACCGTGTCCTTTACTCCCCATTTCAAAAAAAAAATATTATTTCACCCACTTTTATTTAAAAAAAATGGAGGCCAAACGGATGCATATAAAGCGCTTATTTGATGGAAATTTTGTTAATTGATTTTTTGATCATTAGAAATAAAAAGGATCCTATTTGAAAGAGAAAAATTAAAAAATAAAGACTGAAATAATGAAATAATAATCAAAAAATTAAAATTAATTGGATTAAAATCTTCATCAAACATGTTTTAAAAATGAAACCATGCAGGCTGGTGGTTGTTAAAAAAAAAAGGTTGAATCCCAACCTTAAGGGCCCCCACCGACCCTGTCCTGAACCATCGTGGAGGAGGTAAATCGTAGAATGTGCCTCTCAGGAGCCAGGGTGGAGAGCACATGGATAGGCCAAGGCTGTTAACCCATATGGTAACTCCCGCTTGCAATAAAGTCAATTCCACCTTGCGGGGAATCGAACTTTGCACACTGCCGCGCTGAGCCCTATTCGTCCTCCCTTTTGCCACTGAGATATATGCCTTGGAGGCTGGTGGTTGTTATTTGGATTAAGAGTTGAGACAATAAGAATATCAATTTTGCTAGACTTAAGTTCAGGTTTAGGGTTTAAGTACAGTCTTAGGGTTCTGCACCCTCATTGCTGTCAAGAATATATTGCACAGGAACCCATCAAAGAAAACCCTCAGATTTTTGAAAAGTTGAGAGAGGGAGAGAGGGTGATTTTTACAGCTAATAGATCGCATGTATATGTGTACGTATTCAAATATAGGAATTCAGCTAGCGAATAGGTTAGGGCTAGGGCTTTCCAAGATTGCTTTTTGTATTTACTTTACGTCATGTCCTCACCAGTGGCCTCTGGCATGTGGCCAATGGCTACAAAGATGAAAAGCAGAAGAAATCGTGGTGGTAAAGCGTAAACACGAGATTAGAGTATGCATGTAAGGTTTTTAAGATTAATTACTTATATAGACATGAAAATGTCTGATGAAGATTAAATTCAAATAAATAAATTTAAATATCTTTCTAAGAGTTATGAGATAGTTCTACATCTCTCCTGGCGCCTTTTCTGTTAATCTGGTTTAATCTTCACTTTATCTCAATTAACCCTTTCCACTTTTCAGTAAGTAGTACACTTTTCTGAGTTAATTGATTGAATTAGCCTTTACTTTATAGGATTATCCTAATCTTTATTCTTTAAGCTTTCCACATGTCAATCAACAGTACACTTTTCCGAGTTAAACTGGTTTAGTCAGATCTTAACTTTAATAAAACTATCATAAAGAAAAAGCCCTTTCCAGTATGTGATTGAATGATGCACTAAACAATTTAGGGTTTAAACTCATAGTTAACTCATTTGTCATGTAATAATATCTTCCCACTTTTCACATGCCCCAATATATTAATGATTTTTGTGGCCCATTAATTAACCCCAACTTCATCTACTACTTATTGAACCCTAGGTTAGCAAGAATTTATATGTTGACTTATGTTTTACAAAGAAACAACCGTGCTGCTGTGGCACACCGTCCCTGACTTACTCTCATATTTGGGGTCGTTGGGCCCTTTCTTTTGCATTTTAAATTCACCTCGGGTCTCACGCTGTCCCACAGCCATGTGAGTACCTGTCAAGAAGGTGAGCAAAATTTTCCTGGTACACCAGCTTAATTCATATAGAAATGATACGATAATCTTTCTCGATATTATGTTACGTAACAGTGTTTAGAAAATCATTTCTCATGTCTTATACGTTTAACTAACGGGACATTTTATAATAACATGATCCATATGATCTTTCTTGATAATATGTTAAGTAATGGAGTTTAAAAGTCATTTATCATGTTTTATATATTTAACGATCGAGAAATTTTACAGTAACATAATCCAACAAAATGATGACTAGTTCAAAAAGATATATAAATCCTCAATTAATAAAACAATAAAATTCGATTGCTCTATTACCATATTGAGTCTTGACTTGGGCCTGAGATCCCACAGCCCCACCTGCCTCCACCAATCTCGAAGTTTCATTTCAAAAGATTATGCCATTGTTTGAGCCACATTTTGGTGAGAAAATATATTTTGAAATAGCGATTTTTTTGAAGAATATGTGATTAAAAAAAAAGAAAAATTAAAATTATTTTATGAAAAAACATGTGGTTGAAAGTAATATGCCATCGAACGGTTGTCGGAACTGATAGAACATTTGTATGATAACATGAAAGGTTTAGCTTTCCAATTAATATATTGTTTTTTTCTTTGTAATGGCCATTAATTGTTTTGCATGATAAGACTCACTGGGGTTCTTGGCTCTTGCATTGGACATCTTCTTGGTAGTGGGACCCCATGGCGACGGAAAAATCCTTAAGATATAATAGTTACACCGTAAGTATAACTTTTGGCCGACAATCTTTTGGTTTTTCTCATCTTAATCCATGCCACTATGAATGGAGGTAAACTTGAATGCCCCACAACTATTCTTTGCGTCATTTTGTTCTTTCACTGCTTTTACTATTCGTTTAGTGAATTCTACTGTGGAACATGAATAAAAATGTTACTTAACTGAACCAAGATTTTTTCTAGCATGCTGGACCATGCAAAGCTTAAATCCGGAACAAGGGGCTGGCTTACCTAGTTCTTTCGTGTAGAGTACATATAAATTTACTTAATTTGTCAAACAGCAAGCGGAATCACTATGCATCACCTGAGTATAAATATTCCAATAGTTAGTTTGAACAAGAATGAAATTTTACTTCACACACAACTAGGCAGATGCACATTATGGGAACATGTATGAATGATCATAACATGGCTAGCTCACAAAGCTAGCTAGAAAGCTCGAGTCGTAGTCAAGGCAGAAGACTATTCAAAAGCACTTTACGCATTTATTTTCAACGTAAAACATATAATTTTTGATTTTAGAAACATGAAGCAAGGACAGATGAGGTCTAGACACAAGGAAGAGACACGACAGACGAGAACGAAAGATATATTGCTTAGCTGATCAGAGTTTTCTGGATAACTACCGAATTCAATAGTCCTGCTTGCTCAATGGTCTGGGTGGGATCAGTGGGGGACCTCGGGAGGAAATCCAACCGTCTGCAATTGATGAGTCCTGGATCCTCCAGGCCTTAGACGCATCAATGAATGAACGTATATGACCTGCGTTATGGTGATAATTGAAGATTTGTCCACTAACATGCCCATTGAAGGTGAATGAGCTGTGTTAAGAGAAGAAGAAACGGCTGCTTCTGGAACTGGTTCACTAGCAGAGCTACTTCCAAGGGTTCTACCTACACCTTGATATGGAGTACGACGTTTCTCTGGTTTATGCAAGTAAAGAAAATGATCTCACCTTTTCACTGATTCTTTCACATTCGCACGTGCACACAAGAGCATACATTACCACTGCGCTAAGAATTAGGAAATCAAAACAAAGAAAAGGCATGTTGATCTTCTAGAAACCAGAAAGGAGAAGTGAATAATGTTGACAACAAAATAAATAGCTCAATTTGCGCCAACTAATCTTCCTTTCTTTCACTGACATTTGATCTAAAAGAATATGGAAGCCGGGTTAAACTTTCAAGTCCCCCACATTTTGCTCTTCAGAAATGTTCAGGTTATGAAAGTATACTCAAGGTAGACAACCTCAGAAAAAAGCAATGAAAGAAGATCCAAAGAGAAACAAATATGATGCTATATGGTCTTAGGGGGAAATATTTATCCTTCCTTACAAGATTAACGTGAACAGAGAATCTTCTGTCAGCAGATTCCAGCTCTTTAAGGCACTCGGGTTTTCTGATGCTCCACAATTAAATATCATCACTAAGCATTGGATCCTTAAAGATTTCAACACATGATCAAAATAAAAGAAGGGAAAAATGATCAAAACTTAAAGATGTATTTTGATGAAACTGTATTTGTGTAATCTATAGAAATGTTATACAGGCAGGCGATAGAGAATGTTGGACAAAAAAGGGGAGAGAGTAGTTTAATTAGATTTAAACAGATGTTGTGTTCTGGAAAACTAATGGTTTATAATCTAATTCTTACCTATGTACATAATATGTCAGTTAATTGGCTACTAGTAATACAATTCTAGAATTTCAATCAGAATTATCAGGCAGATATTATCTTAAACCCATATTTATTGATTTTCTATTTTTATTATGTTACATCTATAGCTCAATGCCCATTGCCTGTTACCTCCAGAAATGGTGCATTTTCAGGATCATCCAACCTTCCCAAAGGACCATCATTAACTGTGAAACCATTTCTCCAGAAAACAATATTGTGTATAAAGACTCAGGTTGTTGAGGAGCAGATGGTACAATTTCACCAGACTAATCATCAGGTCCCAGTAATGCTACTTGAGCCTGAAGATGGTTGAAAATTCTACAAGGGCCCTTGTATGGCTCCCATCTGCCTAGCTTGATCAAAGATTGCATCCACATCATTACCATTCGAAGGATCTTGAACTAGCATGCCACTGCAAGTATTATGATATATAGGTCAGGTATGTTAACCAAGAGAAGGGGACTTCAATTTATAAAGCATGAAAAGAGCACGAATGATTTCAGCAAAGATAAAAAGAAAAGTGATAAAATAGATGTGGAAAACAATGAAAACAAGCAATTTGCTTAGATCAAACAAAATAGTTTCAACATATAGCAATCATTCAAATTCCAAATTTATTTCAAGCATGTTAATCATCCAAAAAGAACTAAGCGTGAAAGCAATTTTGAGGAAATGTGATTGTGATAGAGAAGCTATCAAATTTCTAAATTGGCTAGAATCCCTATTTTACCGTCAATTTAAGATATCCACGCCCTGGAACATAATTTGTCAATCTTCACCATATATTTCCCATATCGACTGTATCTCTACTTGTTCTCTCAGCCAGCCTCGAGCCTGCTCGCTTTGCCATCATTAACAGTCTTTGCTTGAATCTGACACTGTTGGGAAACCAGCTATACTTATTTTATTTTTTTTTTGGGTTCCACTTCCTTCCCAATTAAATCTTGAAAATGAATAGAAAGCCACGAAAATAATGATGGCTACTAGCTATTAAAAAGTTGCATTCAATGAAAAGAAAGGGGAAGAGGAAAAATTATGCTGAATAATGGATACAATGTGCCAAGCAACCACTATGGAAATGGCTACCACAAAAAGGAGAGAATATTGGAAGCTTGTTTGTTTATATAGAATCAGGCATGATATATGCAAAAATGAGGGTGTTTTCATAACAGGGACGGGTGTGGGCTAGTTTGCTGAACCGACACGTGACACGAATCTACGCGGCTCAAAAATCGAAACTGGTTATCCTCGCCTCAATAATGAAAAGCAAATTAGGCACGTGAAAGTATTCTGACCGATAACTACAAGATGATTTTAATTTTTAACTTGCAGAAAGTGATGGAAGGCAAAGAGGTAACAAGAAAGGCATACAACAAAAGAATAAGGGCCTTTAATCCAAAAACTGGACGAAATGAAATTGCAATAATCAATGTAAAATCAGGACCATGTATAAGCAAAATTTCCTAAGTCATGATTGATGCTGTAATGGTACTTACATCCAAAATGTGCCGAAATACAACCTTCAAATAAGTACTTAGGGGTTTCTTGGAATAAAAGGTACCTCTTTTCGCCGCCTGTGTAACTCTCTTTGGAGCATCCGAGACGCTGTTAGAATCGTGAAACGATGACGGTTCAAATCGGAAAAAAATAACATGGCGCCGGCCCAGCTGGATGAGGATTTTGAAGACTCCTTGTCGCGCGAAGTGCTTGGAGGAAAATTGATAGAAGAGAATGGAATCCGCTCACTCTCCGCCGATGTCCTATTGGTTATTGCCAATTTTGGTTTCTCACAATTTCTGCCTCATTTAAATAACTCGTAATATTTACTAACAAATTTACGGTTCCATCGAATAGAGTTAAGCCTTTTACAACGAACCTGAGCATTTTACAAACACCTCGGTGTTCTAAAAACGAGAGAAGGGTGTCACCTTCTAAGAAAATTTACATGTCAAGGCACTATAAAATACTAATGTTTTAATATACTGTTGATTGACGACAATATTATATGAGACAATTTTTTGTCACTTTAAAAAAAATTAGCGTATTCAAAACTCAGCGTGATTAATAAATTTCTGAATTATATAACAATATTTTAAGAAGACGAGAAATTACATAAAGAAAATGATTATTACATTCTTTATGCTCCGAATGTTAAATGTACTAGTCTACTGCGTACCGCATTACCGGAGCCACCTTCAACACTTAGGCCACTGCTTTCTCCGGCCTCCGCCACAACACTGACAGCACTATTTTCGTCACTACTGCAACTCAAGTGGTGGCGCCGTGGCGGTATCCCATACAGACAGGAATATTTAAATTCAGCACCCCAGCTTTCTCTCCACCATCAGCACTGCCCCCGGATTCGGCGAAGGGGATTTTCCGGTGTCCATCATTTCGTAGCTTTGATGCACTCTTTTCAGCACTACTCTTTAACATAGCATCGGAGCTCCGCCCAATCACGCCGCCCCGGCGAACATGCGAAATTGGGTTGTTTCTTGCCAAGTGAACCCCCACTGGGCTAGGGCTACTCGGCCACTTCCTCGACGTCTTAGACTCGCCTGCAGAGTTACACCTAGAGCATGGCTCGCTACTAACCTTTCGAGTCGCCGATGCCGTAGATCCTGCCACCATACGCGGCCTACTTCCGTTGTTCCCAGAGGATCTACTCCTCGAAAAAGGCATTAAATTTATCTTTAGCTCCGCCGCACTCACCCCATTACTTCCACAACCAATACCAGCACCACCGCCCTTCTTCTCTTTCTTCTTATCATTATAATTACAACCGCTACTAGCATTGCTAGGTGATTTTGAGTTTTTCTTATCACTTTTCTTACAAATATCTTTCCACCGCTTTGATGAAGTAAATGTACTAGTTGCTGATAAATTTGCTAATTCAGCAGATGAAAGATCGGGTTCGGGTTCGGGCTCCAGTTGATCCGACCTGGATGAGCGAGGGTCTTGAATGTCAGGTGGGTCGTCGAGGCGGAGGTGGAGAGGGAGAAGGACACCGCCGGAGAAAAGCTCATCAGCAGAGAGAAGATTATGCTGAGGGAAAGAAGGGTTTCGGAGCATCCAGAATTCGAATTCGGTTGAGTTCGAATCACGGCTTCGTCTTCTTGTTCCCCCATTGCTGTATGGTGAGAGAATTAAAGGCCTCTGGAAATCTTCTACTCCCTCCATTTTCAGTTGCGTATTTGTTTATTGCAAAAGTTGCATTAATTATATTACGAGTTGGATTCACCGTTCAAAATTGACTGTCCAATTTATCATTCACCGATATGTCAATTAATCATTGGATGAAAAGTAAGTTGCAAATCTCAACTCATATTTGTTGGGAAAATATGATAAAGTTTATTTCCAACGTGGATAACAAAGGACTAAGTTTAATAATGCAAAAATGAAGTTAAACAAAGTAAAAAATAGTAGAAAAGAAGAAAAGAAAATGAAGAAATGATTCAAAGCAAGTGAAAACATTCTTTCTTTAAGGCAAATTTGCCTTGCAATAGTGCTAATGGAAAAACGGTAATTGTCTCTCAAGATACAAAGGATTACTCCCTTATAATAGAAGTACTTCAAACTATAAAGCAACAATGAACTCGAACGAATTATTCGCCATATAAGAAAATGCTTTTGGAATGATTTTTGAAGAAGTTTTTGCAAGAGATTTGATATAATGCTCGAGCACTAGGCGAACAATGGAGTTAGGCAAATTTTTCAGCCAATTTTTCCTCTTTTTTATCAAACTTTGTACCGAAATTTCTTATTCATCCGGAATTGATTTTGAAATTTCAAATATACAACGATGATCTACTTGACAAGCAAAATAAACTAGTTTATTTATATTTATATGTTGACTATTGGATCAAGTTGAATATTTGGTCGAAATTGATACAAAGTCACATTTTCATATTTACACTTAACCAAATTCCAACAGTATATTACTTTTAAAATGTGGAATCCATTAGGATGTGAATTTATAAATCAAACTCAAATTCAAATATTTATTTTAGTAACAAGTTCATAACTACTATTCAATATTATTAAATACATTTCTATTTATTAATCATAGTAGTGCTCACATTATAATGTCATTTTAAAAATTAATGTTACAATTGATGTTTCAAAATAATGTCATTTGAAAACTTATTGAATTGATACTAATTAAGGCCGGCGGTTTTTTATTGTGATGAGAATAACAAAGCGATCAAGTTGAATAGTTAGGTAATTCATGTGGAACAAATTAAAGTTTAGTGAGCAGTTCTAAACAAATCTTAAAGTTAAATGATTAATTTGAAACAAAATTAAAAGTTTGGAGGCCAAATTCAACTTTATTGATACGTTATCGACTACTACCAATATTTGATTTGTGGTGTTTGTTTGTGGACAAAGTAATTGTCATTTTTTTTTTTTAAATTGATAATCTATTGTGCATTTGGGGCCCCAAGCGAAACAGTGTTTTTCTGACAACAACTGCAACTTGTCATGCTATACTACTGTTATTTAGCTTTGCAGTATTATTATTGGGGGTTCATCCTACTTGTCACACGAGTTGTTAATTATTACTTTGTTTGTCTACCTTTTTTCACATTCTACGGTGTTATTTTTTTTTATTAGTAATTATTTTCAATCACACATTTTTCATTAAAATAATATTACACGTAAATTAAATTTTTTTCTTCTTTTTTAACTACACATTTCAACATCATTCACTATTTCATAATACATTACCTACCAATAATAGGGCACAAACAAGCACTATATAAATTAGATTGTAGCATTAGTAGTGCTAAGCACGTTTAGATGACATTCAAGTATTATTAATAACTTATCTCAAAAGTAAGGATAATAACCTTGTTTGAGATGACATTCCACTTAACAAGAAAGTAGACTTGCTCTACTTAACAAGTAGAGTTGCTTATAGCATCAATTGTGCTACATAGTGTTATTCTATAAATTAAGATATGTAATGACCTCCTCCGCCTATAAATTATATGCCTACTTAGAATGTACATGTTAGAGGCACAAAACTGAAGGCACTTCAAATACAAAGGCGGCGGAGGCTGCAATCATAGGTGCTCGATGCTCAAGTCAGTTAATGAAAAATATGTTATGTGCTCGAGGTTTATATTTGTAGTGTGAGAATATCCTTCACCAATTCATCACGTGTGAGTGTTTATAGACAAGGAAAATGAATTAAGGCTCTCTGGACTATGACGTATGGCTCATCCCAACCCTTTACACAAAATTCAATTATGTCATGATGTCGCGTCCTAGACATCATAGGTCTGCACCATTCGCACACTTTCCCAGGTAGAGAAAATAGAATTTGACTCCCAAACGTCACTACTAAAGGTGTCACATCTGTCGTTTCTCACGTGACTCCTTGATAAGTGTGTTTTTGAACACTTATTTAGATCACAAACATGACTGAATAACGAGCAAAATGATTGAATTGTGACTTAATCTCATTACATTTATGAATTGTAGGGAACAACGATAAACATGGTGAAATTCAAGAGAAAAGACGCGAAAAAGTACTAAAATGACGCAAAGTGAAAGTTCAGGGACCAAGGTGCAATTATCCAAAAGTTGACCCGATGAACAAATCGAGAAATTGATTAAGTCAATTGCCAATTGACGATATTTTGGGATGATGAAATGGAAAGAATGAAGAAAAGATGTCAAAAAGTGGAGGATTCAAGTAGGAGGACCAAAATGAACATCTTTCATAGTTGGTAGTTGCTACCCTCTATGCGGTCGCATAGAGGCAAACCGAAACATAATTTCCACAAAATTCTTACTCTATGCGACCGCATAGAGATGCTCTATGCGGTCGCATAGAGCAATTCTAGGGCAAAACCGCATTTTCCTTTTTCCGCCGAAACTCTTATGGGAACAATATTTTTAGGGTCCTATATAAAAAAAAAAAAACTCGACTGAAACGATGGGGACGCCGTTTTTACAAGTTTTTGAGATATTTTGAAGGAAAAACGAAGAGAGAACAAGAGGAAAACATCGCGCCAAGTGAAGATTTGATTGAAACTTGATTCGGGTGATGACGTTTCTTCAACTATTTTTATATTTTCTTCTTTTTAGCATGTTAGGCTAGATTTTTCATTGCTAGGAGATCGATGAACATTGTAATACTACGTTTGATTTTTTATTTGGATATTTGATATATTTCAACGCATGTTTCAGAATTGAATGATTTATTACGTTTTTATTTCCATATGATTATTGTGCACGTAATTCTATGATTGTGGTGGCCTGTGTTATGCATTCGAAAGAAGAAAAATAGGTTCGACATAGTATAAATCATCATAGGGTCCGATAGGGGATAGAAATATATCTCTATACCATGTGTGAATTATTGGATATTCATGAATTCATAATGCATTTCGGTATATTAGTATTCGTCATAGAAATATAGTCAAATCACATATTGGGGTAGGTTTGGCATTACTCGAGAGAGATTGCTAAATTAAAATAAGAATATTGATTCATCTTTTGTGGAATTTTGTGTCAAATTTGCACGATTAAAAATAGAACGGGTATTGTTTGGAGATTCGTGATCTTAGTGCGTTAGTAAATTCATTAATTCCATAAATTCTAGTAAATTGTGTCCTAGTCATTTGCATTTAATATATTTCTTTCATTCATAATCGCATCATAGTTTACATCTCCTTTAGCCAAATCACAACACATCAATTTTAATTTCGTGTTTCGGTTAAGGTCATAATAGGTTGATTTGAACTAATTCAATCCTTATGGAATCGATACTTGGACTCATAGTCCATTTTACTACTTGTTAACAAACCGTACACTTGCGGTGGGTTTTGAATCCAAACAAATAATTTTGTGAACACTTCTTGCAATTAAAATGCAACTTGCATGAGACACCTCAGAGTTGACCATAACCACCTTGGACACCGGAGGTCCAACTGATGTGGCTAAGGGTTGAATGTCCTCTAATCTTGCAATAAGTTGTGTCGCATCAAAGGCATCAAACTGTTCTCTCAACGCTTCTTGAAAACAATGGTCGACGAAGCAATGCGATGTCTCTTTTTGCAATAAATTGTAGATTAGCTAGCATTAATGTAGCTTGCCATGTAGACAAAGACATAACACCAAACTTTGTCGACACGATAACTTCCATGACTCAAATAACTCGTCAACCGTTATTTACTTACGTTTTTGCCATAACAATTGAACATGGCATACATTGACATGTTTGCTTTAGCCTGTCTTTTTCGCGTTAATTCCGAATGTATTAACATAACATATACATTTAAACAAGCATGCAAGGTGCAGTTAACATCCAACTTCCTAGGATCACACATTAGTGCAACATATAAACGGGCAATGGATCCTGTGCCATTGGACATTTATCCTCGTCCAAAGTCTGACCACTCAGACACTAATAACTTCCCTTAACCATCCTGCACATGTCCGAATCATCAGCCATAGCAAAAACTCAACATGATCCCAACACATTAATTAACTCGGAACCACCCTACCACATTGATTATCGGCCATAAAATTTGAAGGCGTAGCACCACAGCCACAAACTATTTTAGCTTAAATACACAACCATACAACATGTAAACAACACAATTTCTAGCTAAGAACGGTCCCACAAAAGCCAGAAAACTCACATCAATTACCATAAGTAGTGGTGTGAAAGGCTTGTAGGCGTGTGTCGGTTAACTTACAGGCGTGCCTAGGGATCAAAACAGACCACATAAAATGTAGAAAGTCGGGCTTGGCCCCATCTCCTCCCAAAACCCAAGTTAGCCAAACGTGTAGGTGGGGATAGAATCAGGATTTTTAGTTTGTGGACATTATGGCTGTTAGTGGTGGTACAACGCTACGACATATGTGGCCGCTTAAGGTGCTCGATGACCAAGGGCGGAGCCAGGAAGATAAATTAGGGTGGGCTGAAAATTGAATTTTTTTCATAGATGCTCTTTGCCACTCGAGATTTAGTTTAAAATATTAAACTCTTGATGCTAATGACAAAATGAATCAAGATATACTTCCAAACATTTATGACAAAGTTCTAACAAATATATTTTTAATTGATAAAAATAAATATAGAGTATATTACTTATTTTTATGATAACAACCGTTTCGTGGTCGAAATAAATAAATTTTTAACTTACAAGTATAAATAAGCAATATATGAAAAAATACGTTAGAAATAATTAA